ATAGAACACTATTATGGAGGAGAGCTGGTAAGGGATCAAAGAGGCTCTAACATCAACGAATCAGGAGGTTCTGGTTCACAACAAGCATCATCGTAAGCAACGGATCTTTATCGTAAATATCGACAAGATTCAAGGAAAGAAGAATAGGAAGATAGCAATTAACAAAAGCCGAACTGAAACAGAAAGTCAAGGCACAAGCTAAATACACAGAAACAAACAAGTAAGTAAAGAGGGGCTTTGTAGCCGACAAGCAGCATCAGCAACGACAGTAGAATAGCTGCAAAAGAAAAAATATGAAAGAACTATATGACACAACGAAGAAACTGGCAGGGAGACATAGTAAACCAGAGAGACCAGTCAAAGACAAAGAAGGTAAAACAGCCAGTAGTATTCAAGAGCATAGGAACAGTGTGGGATAGATTACTTCGAGGAATTCTTGAATAGGTTAGCTCCACCGAATCTACCAGACATCGAAGCAGTACCTACATACCTTCCTATGGTTGTCACTCCACAAACGATCAAAGAAATTAGGACAACCATCAGACAAAGTAACAGCGGGAAAACAGTAAAGCCTGGCAAATTACAAACTGAAGCACTGAGGTTAGACAAAGTGGTAGCTACGGAGATGTCACACATACTGTTCGAAAACATCTGGTAGGAAAAACGAGTGCCGACAGACCAGACAGACGGATGGTTCACCAAGGTAACAAAGAAAGGACATCTGAGCAGTTGAGGCAAATACAGAGTAATCACAATACTATCGATCCAAGGAAAGGTTTTCACCAGGGTGTTGCTGAACCGGATGGAAGATTCAATAGGCATCCAGCCTCGAGATTAACGAGTTAGCTTTCGTGAGGATTGGCTATATGCCGACCAAATCACGTCATTACGGATCATTGTTGAAAAATTGATTGAATGGAACTTGTCACAAATTGTTCATTGAATAGTTCCGTAATAAGTTTACGATCTTCGTATACTTGCTTGTTTCGATTTAGTACGTTTAACTTTATTTTGAAGGAGTTTTTTAAGTGTGGAGGAGTTATTATTAAGATCGATAGCACGTTTTTCCTGCGCGACAGATTTTGTTCATGTATTGTCTCTGTCTGGCATTTATTTATGTGACCGTAACTAAAGAGGAAAAGTTATTGAAATTGTGGAATCCAGTACAACGTCTTTGAAGGCTTCTTCGCGTAGAGACTGGTATATACAAATCTTTAGAAAACCCAGGTCTCCAGTATGCTAAAGGTGCGATTTTGTTGAAGATTTTTTGGTGTTGTAATAAAATAGAACAGTTAGTGTGTCGGTATTCTTTACAGTATGTGAGGTTCCCTATCCAGTGTTTCTTAGATAATTTAAGACGTCCTTCCAATCGACCTTGCGATATTTCCTACGAAGTGTCACATTTTTACGTCTACCGGTCGCGGTTTTTATATTAATGCTACATATGATCGCTACTTGGAAACGTTCTTCTAATATGTAAAGTATTGGGTGTTAGGCCACTGGTAAAGATTAAGTTTGAGATATTTTAATGTCTGGTAGGTCTACTGACATACTGACACCAATGTCCAAGCTCCAGACATTCAATAAAAGAATCATAACGTTAAGGCTCCTTGGCTGGAAACCAAGAAATCTCAGGCATGTTGAAGTCACGACAAATAAGCTTGTAGAATTATGGTCTATATGATATTAGTACTGCTCTAATAATAGACCTAGTCCTATAACTGTAGATTTGTCATGGTATAACCGCCTAATCTATAAGTTCTTACGTGGAAGTCACATCATCGTCTACACGAACTCACCACATTTTAACAATTACCGCATTTTCTATCGTTAGGTATTTCTTCGCGTTAAATATTGAATATCTATTTTTCGAATGGTCTCATGTTAAGCTTTGTGGATTGTTTGGTTATAATCCAATGCCATTACAAGCTTACCTGTGAATGAAAGGGGTGATGACAGTGTGAATACATCTGACAATGTTTTTATCTCACCTATTGTTTAGAAGTTAGTTCGGTTATATTCATAAAAATTCAGAGAGTAGTTTAAAACTTTTAGACCCGACATTTTCTCTTCCTTCACACCAAACTAGGACGAATCAAGGGACATAGGATGCTAGTTTGAAAGCCAGTAACGAATAAAATACTCATGGTATACATGTGTCCACACCGGATCGTCAAGTATTGGAAAGCTTTGTTCTAAGAAGTGGTGTCCACAACGTTAAATAACTGATTAAAAAGAAGGCTAGACCCTCAGGAAAGCTTGGCAGACAAAGGCTAATACATGCTACCGGCTTTCAGTCCTCAGGACGTAAATTTGAATCTCGAACCTACCTCTGGAGTAAGAGAGGAAGTATTATGTTTCCATACTATGAGAGAAACCGAGTATTACTGGTGAAATATAAAATGAATAGCCCTGCTGCTAAAATGGACGAAGATATTTATTAAAATTACTGCCAAACGATTTTCTGCAAAGGCATTTTTTCACAGTTGATGTAAGGTTTGGGGACGTATGGATCCAAAATTCGTTGTTTTTCAGATTTTGGCGCTTCTAGAATTCTGTGTGGTTCTCAAGCTTTCGGAGGGGAACTATTTTTGGCTTTGAAGTGTTGAAAATAACACAACTATTTTCACCCAGCTTCGACACTGAGTCATATCAACCTGGTTGTGAATTTTCCCCCAAAACTGGATAGTATTCGCTATGCTCCAGAACATTATGACTAAGGAAATTCATCTGGATAAATCAAAAACACTGGAAACCCTTGTGCTGATTTTCACTAGACTTGGCGGGAACTTTGCGTAATTTGAGAGAATAAGTTCATTTCCCTTAGCTTGAATAGTCGGTTGTTGGCGCATAATCTAGACATGTCCACTGGTGTAACAAATGAATACTTGCCACTTTGGGCTCATGGATAAAGCTTGTGAGATCGACATTTTAAACAGCCTGTAAAAAATAGAGATGTATTGCATCTACCGTACTTTTACGACTAAAGAGTGTGGTCTATGTATCTACTAAAACCGACAGATTAGTTATCGAGAGCTCGCCCTTTTAAATAATTAAAGAACTTGATAATAAGTCGAATGTTTTCTTGTCTCGTGCATTTTTTGTACATAATTTTATGTTTTTAACGACTATGGGTCTGACAGTGTTTGTTTGTTTGTCTCGAGGTTGATTGAACATTTTGTAGGCACTTTCAACAGCTGTAATTTTGCGCTCGTTTAGACAGACAAGTTTAGTATGGGTATTGTTGATTGATTGATCCGATTAGTGCATATAGTTAAGAGATTATGGTAAGACCATGATGTATAGACAACATCCGAGCAATACTAAATTGGCTTTGAGAAAATTCAACCAATTATAAGGTTTAAAATAAAGTTATAAGTGTGAAAACTTACGGTCTGAGTCGCTAAATCACGTCACATATAATGCCAAAACCCCATATAATCGTGCGGACTAATAAAGTTTGCATCAAAAAACAATGTAGTCTACATAAAATCATCTATCGTTGCAGGTGATAGCGAAAAGTCTCATGCACTTTGATAATGGCCTTTAATGTTAACTTGAAATAGCCCAAATTGACACTGAATAGACAGGATGAGGTAGTTTTTTGTGTATTGAAGTTACGTTTTTCTAAATGGTGGGGGCAGTGGTTCTATAAATTATTAACGATCTAATCATCCCGAGCTGCTACCTTTGGGAAAATCCCCAAAATGTAATAGCCTTCCCCAATATTTGGGGAAATTTCGGGGGTTGGGTCTCATTTCCCCAAAATTTACTATAGCGGCCTCCCCAAAATCGGCAGCTTGGGATATTTCGCAATATCAACCTGAACTAAATAAAACACCATTTTTACTTCTATATTTACAGTCTCTACTGTAGGATATTAAAAAAAGTAGCTTAACAACATTAAAATATGCAAAATCCCTCTCTTCCTTCTTGAACTCTAGGTGAGGATAAGACTGTAAAGTTACACTTGATAGTTCATGCTGTCACGTTTTGTTATCAGCTATACACTTATATATACTGTCATTTAAATTTTCCTTTTTTGCTTAGTTTAAACTTGACAAGCTAACCTAGTTGTTGCGCATCACCCTAGTGTGATATTTCTGCATGTAGTTTTTAAACTTCATTTGTTGTTTGTAAAAAAACTAACGGGAATCTTAGTATTTTATCAGCTTGTTCTTTGACGGAAACACTGGAACCTTTCACGATAAGTAACTTCGTAGGGAATATAGTGCAGAAGATAAATCACTGTGGTAAGTATTGAAAGGTGTTCTCATTCTCATCTTTCAGGTTCTAAATTGAGCTTGAATATCTGACAATTTGTTGAAAAGTAAACTTGGAACAAAATAGCATGTCTGTTTGTTATTTGATGTATAGGCTTGTTGGGTTGGTATTTATATTTCCATTTACTTTACCAATCAGTAATCATTAACAAAAAAACAGCCATTCAGTTGTTACGAATATTCATCCACTTGACACTTGAGATTTCTCAGGTGTTTAGAATAGAGTCACGTCAGTCATCTACAACGTAAGACCAGGCACGTGTATGCATCGGTCCAAGCACAAGATGAACGCCAAATTCGTAAAAGTAGTTACATCGATGGTACTGATTTATAGAAAAAAGATTGAAAGTAAGGGTAGAGTACAGGAACAAATAACTATTTCGTAGAAAGAAAGATATGAAGTAATTTTAATCTCTTATTTTAAGGTGACACAGTGTATACACCGACGCCATTGTGATCGGTTCTGAGCCATGTCACTCAGTTTCCAACCATTGGTTACGATAGTCACGTGGACTCCAACCACGTAGTCTGCATCTTACTCAATGTTTTAGATTGTCATTCATATTGAGAAGTCATTATATTGTGATTTTTACCCAACTATTCAAACATAGTTTTTGGTATAATGTATCACCAATTACATATATACAGTTACGATGCAGTTTCATTCACTATAGTTGCATATGTAATAATCTTGGTTTTTTGTTTGATAGTGCACAAATGACAGCTTATAATGTATTATATATAAAGAGCTATGAAAACAAGAAGTGCTCTCTCGATGTTCTGAACTGTGTCAATCATATTCAGAAATCATTAGATCGTGAGATGGCTCTTAAAGGTCCTAGTTATTTAGCTGGATTATTTCGTCTAACTCCTCAAATACAGTCAGGGGTTTTTGAAGCCAAACAACCAAAACCGAAAACATCTTACGAGTCAATACAACACAACGAAAGTCAAACGACCTTTTATCGTAGTATTCCGTCCATATCTGATGACCCGAATTCCCAAGAATCCTTACAAATAACTTCTCATGAGGTGAGTTTAATCATGGGTTACAATGGTTGAAAAATCACGAGTTAATAGTGTACTTGATTGATACCTACCGGTGCAAACTAAAACTAACGCTAATAGATAAGGTGTAGTTTTACGATAATTTGAGAAACTCAGATGCTAATAGTTGAATATGTTAATTAAAATTGGCGACAGATATTGTTAACAACAACAAAGTCACTCACCTTTTATCCTTCTCTGAACCCTTTCCGACTATGTATCGTCCGTAAACCTAATTCCGTTTGATTTTGTTTTGACCTGATGTTTTTATGCTTTTTAAAGCTATGACAACCCGAACAAATAAGGTGTAATCAACTTTCTTAGTCTGGTTTTGGCTGTTTAACCTAGAAATTAGCAAATTTATTCCTGCTAATTTATTATAGTTGGTTTCATATTTGGTTTTAGTGTTGATACGGTGAAATAGCATAACAGACGTTGATCACTTTCGTTGAAGAAGTAACCGAATCTGATCGTCGGAAACTCAACCTTATTCTGGCGTGTTGAAAAACTGTAGAAATAGTATATTTTCCATCCATACATGTCTCAGTTTATGGTGAAAATGAAGAAATATAAGCTTACTTTAAAACATCTAACTTTTATAACTTTGTAATATACCTATTTTCGTACCCTAAAATCCTTCATTACCTAACATTTCGACAATGGAAATTATCTCGTTTGACTGGATGTCCGTTGAATAATATAACTGCCGTACAGAATGTTGGATAATGGAAATGATCAGATTTAGTGTATTTTTTCTGTTTTATCGAAACTTCTAGAATTTTCTCCAGGTTCCCCATTCAGTATGTTGTGAAGTTAACACTTAAGGTAGATATGTATTTTGCATCAATTCCTTATGGATACGGTAAGGGTGTTTTTTGCTAATTACGTTCAATGTAACATTTTGAAGTCAGTATTTTCTTTTGTCAATCTAGTTTAAATGATAAATCACACTTATTATATAGATGAGTGTGATTTCTCGGAACGTCTGCGAGCGTTATAATAGTAATATATACATTATTTTCTGTGAACTGTGCGCTATACCTCAGAAACTTTTTGCTTTCAACGCATAAGACGTATCGATAAGGTAAATTTAAGTTATGAAAATATAAAGAGGAAATTTGTACGTACATTATTCAGGTTATGTCATCAAAATAATTGTTAACTAATTGGGCCGAAAGTTGGTCTAGGTTGGTAAAGCGCTTGAACACAAAGTTCCGGTTATTTTTATTTGAATAGCTATTATCTTAGACGTTTGAAGAACTCTTAGTCGGACGGATTTAGGCAGATAACTATTAAAACGACATGTTACTGTGAATCATTCCTTCGTGTCAGCTTTAATTACTACTTTTATTAAACAAGCCAGGATTGAGTTGTTAATAGTTTTAACTGTACAGGGAGACGCTCGAGGGAACGATAATGCAGATTTGTGGGTAAATAAAAATCAGCAATTAATGACTGACTTTATGTTGTTTTTAGATTGCAATTGTTCCAATTCTGACTCAGACATTAATATCAACCTACCTATATGGCTTATGGTATTGTCCTAATCCAAATATCAAAACATGTAGTGGAAATCAAGCAAAATATCATGAATCAAATTTCGCAGCTTTTTATACTACAATCTTTTAACATTTTTTAAACAGTTAAACCTATTTATTTCATTTCACTTATGTGTTATATTGGCTCCTTAGTAGTTAAAATTTTTGTCTACCAGTCAATGGGTTATCCTTTTCCAAACTTTCTTCAATAGGTGTTAAACAATACAGTCCTGTATAAAATTGAATATTCATTTTAATCAATTAAGTGTAATTCTGTAGTGAACGGGAACACAAATGGGGACAATGGGATGTAATTCAATACAAAATTACAGAATCACTTTGTGAAATCTAAAAACCGTACAGTAAATAGTTAATTTATAGAATGCCAATCAATCGTCTTAGACTTCATTGTTCTTTCGTTTCCACACCAATCATTCTCTATTCTCGTTCTATTTCCATCGGTCTTCATAAACTTCTACCTCCAGGCAATCCACTTTTGATTGATGATACATACTACTTATATCTGTCGACATCAGTAGCATAATCCACACAAGCAGTATGATATTCTCCTGATTGTTCAATTTTTCTTTTTTTTTTGAAAAAATTAGGCCCAAAATGTATTCAATGAAAAGATTCCATTATGTATCATTACACAAATTGATAGAAATTTACCATGTGCTAAAACAATGAGATCTGAATATCATCATCAGCAAGCATCAACATCTCATTCTACATATGAGAATAGAGATTATATAAATAGTTGTCGTTCTTTATTATCAATATCTAGTAACAGAGAAATTAGCAATATTGCACCATCCGTTTTAAAGGTATGTGTATGGTGATTGTAATTTCTTGACGATTTTGTTTTGCCAAAGTTATGATTTCCATGATATTATGTTTACCAGAGTAGAAGATAAGAGTATAGTAGAACAGTGTACTATGCTTTTATTACTTTAAGCTTGGCATTGTTGAAGTATGGTTAGACTGTTCAGTCATTCATTCATAAACAACGTAGAAATTGGCATTTATGTGAGTCAGTTTAATCTCTCACATTATATCAACACACTGAGATCCCATAGTGTGAGGACGGTACATGGGTTTTCGAAGAAGCTACACGTAGGGGTCCTAGAATATTCTTCCAAAAGGTGGTTCGATGGAATATCTTCGGCTCTTTCTGAGCTTCGTCATCGTGTTTTGGGGTTAATAAATCTTCACATATACCAGTCTTCCTGTACTTAATTTCGCGTCGTGGGAATTTGCAGAGGTCTCTCGTTTCGATCACAAGTGATAAGAGTTTTCGACATAATAATCAGCGACAACCAGATATAACAAATAGCATTCAACTGGCAAGGCGTATCACATAGTAGTAAAAGTAGTAACAGTTTCAAACGTTACTTACTTACGCCTGTTACACCTCGTGAAGGAACATAGGCCGCTCAACATCATTCGCCATCCAACCGTGACCTGGGCAATCCTTTCCAGCTCTTTCCAGTTGTTATTCATCCTTTCCATATCTGCTTTTATTTCCCGACGTAATGTGTTCTTTGGCCTTCCTCTTTTCCGCCTTCCTTCAGGATTCCAAGTTGGGGCTTGTCTCGTGATGCAGTTTGACGACTTGCGTAGTGTATGTCCTATCCATTTCCATCGTCTTTTCCCGATTGCTTCAGCTGGAAACTGGTTTGTTCTCTCCCACAAAAGGCTGTTGCTGATGGTATCCGGCAAATGGATGTTGAGTATCTTGCGTAGACGGCTAATTATAAATACTTGCACCTTCTTGATGATGGTTGTAGTAGTTCTCCAATTTTGAGCTCCGTACGTACAGTAGAACTGCCTTGAAGTTCGGATTAAAGATTCTCACTTTGATATTGGTTGAAAGTTGTTTTGAGTTCCATATGTTCTTCAATTGTAGGAATGCGTCCCTTGCTTTGCTAATCCTCGCCTTTACGTCTGCATCTGAACCTCCTTGTTCATCGATGATGTCTCCCAGGTATGTGAAGGATTCCAAATCCCCCCGAGTTTCGCCATCAAGTGTGATCGGATTGGTGTTCCCCATGTTGTATTTGAGAACCTTGGTTTTCCTCTTATGTGTGTTGCGGTCCACTGATGCAGAGACTGTTGCTACACTGGCTGTCTTTATCTGCATTTGTTCGTGTGTATGCGATAGGAGGGTCAGGTCATCTGCGAAGTCCAAATCGTCTAATTGGTTCTGAGCTGTCCATTGTATTCCGTGTTTTCCTTCATATGTCGAGGTCCTCATAATCCAGTCGAACACCAGAAGAAAGAGGAAGGCGGAGAGTAAACAGCCTTGTCTGACTCCGGTCCTTACTTAGAATGCATCTGTCAGCTGTCCTCCATGCACGACCTTGCACTGTAGTCCGTCGTATGAGTTCCGGATAATGTTGACAATCTTCTCAGGAACTCCGTAGTGTCGAAGAAGTCTCCACAACGTCCTCCTGTCTACACTGTCAAATGCCTTTTCATAATCAATGAAGTTGATGTACAGTGACGAGTTCCACTCAACTGATTGTTCGACGATGATCCGTAGTGTTGCAATTTGGTCTGTACGCGATCGATCCTTATGGAATCCAGCTTATTGATCTCGAATTCGGGCGTCTACTGCATCATTCATCCGGTTCAGCAACACTCTGTTGAAGACTTTCCCTGGTATTGACAATAGTGTAATGCCTCTGTAGTTTTCACATTTGTTCAGATCTCCTTTCTTTGGAATCTTGATGAGGTGTCCTTCTTTTCAGTCCATCGGCACTTGTTCCTCCTCCCAAATCTTTTTGAATAAAAGGTGAATCATGTTTGTAGTTACTTCGATGTCTGACTTCAATGCTTCAGCTGGTATTTTGTCGAGTTCTGTTGCTTTCCCGCTCTTGACTTGTCTGATGTCCATTCTGATTCCTTCCGTCGTTGGTGGATTGACATCTATAGGAAGATCTGTGTGCGCTGCTTCGATGTCCGGTGGATTCATTGGAGCCGGGCTATTCAGTTCTTCGAAGTACTCCACCCATTTGTTCCGCTGTTCGGTGATTGGCCTGCCTTCTTTGTCCTTGACCGGCCTCTCTGGTTTACTGTATTTCCCTGCTAGTTTCTTCGTTGTATCGTAAAGCTGTTTCATATTTCCTTCTCTAGCAGCCTTTTCTGCCGTCGTTGCTAGTTCTTCCACGTATTTCTTCTTGTCGGTTCTAATGCTCTTCTTCACTTGCTTGTTTGCTTCTATGTATTCAGCTTGTGCTTGGACTTTCTTTGTTCGTGTTCGGCTGTTGTTAATTGCTGTCTTGTTCTTCCTTTCTTTGATATTGTCCAGTGTTTCTATAGAGATCCATTCCTTATGATGGTGCTTCTTTAAACCCAGAACCTCTTGACACAGAGTTAATGCCTCTTTGATACTTTTCCAGTTGTCCTCCATAGTAGTTGCTTCTTCCTTCAGTAGATTCTGTAAAGCTTGGAACCTGTTGTTGAGAGCTATCTTGAATTCATTGAGTTTGTTAGTATCATGAAGGAAGGCTGTAGTAAACCTTTGTAGTGCTGTTTGTCCAGTTGTTCTTTAGCTTCAGTTTTAAATTGGCTACAACTAGATGGTGATCTGAAGCTATGTCAGCACCTCTCCTGGTTTTCACATCTTCCATTGTCCTTCGGAATTTTTTATTGATGCAGATATGATCTATCTGGTTCTTTGTAGTGTGGTTCGGTGAGATCCATGTGGCTTTTGTGGAAATATTGTGCCTCCTATGACCAATTTGTTGAATGCACACAGATTTGCAAATCTTCCTCCATTTTCGTTTCTCTCACCCAGTCAATGTCGTCCCATGATATCTTTATATCCGGTGTTATCTATTCCAACTTTGGCATTTAGATCTCCCATCAGAATGGTGAGGTCCTTTCTTGGGCACTTCTCTATGATTGACTGCAGCCGCTCGTAGAATTGATCTTTAATGTCGTCGTCGCTATCATTGGTGGGTGCATAACATTGGATAATATTCATTAAGATCCCCTCCTTCTTTGTTTTGAATGATGTTTTGATGATTCTGGATCCGTGAGATCCCCATCCTACAAGTGCATTTCGTGCTATTTTGAACAGCATTAGAGCAACTTTATGAGTGTGTGGAGCATTTTCCTCTCCATGACCGGAGTATAGCAGCATCTCTCCCGTATTTAGCCTCTGTTGTCCAGCTTGGGTCCAATGGGTTTCGCTGATTCCTAGTACTGCCAAGTTGTATCTCCTCATTTCCGTTGATATTTGACTGGTCTTCCCGGTCTCCCACATTGTCCGGACGTTCCATGTACCTATACAATTTTTTGCTCTGGTTGTTAGAAGGGGCATCGGCCTCGTGGCTTCCGAGGAACTCGGCTTTCACCATGAAGCGTCATAATTCTTCTAAATGAAGACCTTCTAACTCCCAGGGCAGAGTTAAAATGGTTTGAATTATTTTTTCTGGTAAGCGTTTTTTTAGCGAGTTAGTTTTCTACGAGATGGGGACGCTAACGCCATGCCCAACCCTCCTCCTTTACCCGGGCTTGGGACCGTCAGTAACTCTAGAAGAGCTACAGGCAGAGTTAGTTCCAAACGTTAGCAGACAAGTTTAGGCATAGAAGATATATTTGGCGAAGGTACAACATCATGTAGACAACAACTTGTAATCCAATTTGTATTAGAATGATGGATAGATTTGTAGAACATTAACTTCCTAGTCTAAATCCTCAAGTTTAATCAATATTTCATGCTAGTGTTCCCACTTTTTATAGACACGAAAACACAAGTTGTTAGTTGAATATCAAGAAGCGTTAGAACCAATAACTTCTATTGATATCCCATTGGAATATGAAGAGAAACTTATTTCTTTATTGAAATAATATTTTACATATAATAATAATATTGATACTAAATGGATAATATTTTGACAAACTCTTTATATTTATATACTACTTTCTTGGTAATCTGTACAGAACTGATGATTCTTCTTCTTATTATTATTATCATTTAGTGTTCATGTAAATATGATCTTAATTAAATTATTTGCATATTTTTTTCTAGTAAAGTATATTTATTTGTTTAAAAACATAAATATTGGTATAAAGAGGCACCGAATAGATAAGCGCCACACAACTCACTTGATTTATGTGTGACTTGTGGTACTGCTCGAATGCCCAGACTGAAGTAGGTGGGTTTCTTAGAGGGTCACACCCCGAGCCTTCAATCTAAAGGTCTGATACACAAGGCAGTGAAACAACGTCAGGAGATACAGTCCTATGGTGGCTGGTGACCAACAATTAATTCAAACACCATTAGTTCCCTAAGGATCTTGGAGCCCATGTACACCATTGGTTTGGAATCAAGGATTTCCAACTTCTCTAGGTGGACTCTCCGTGTCTATCAATCCAGCTAAAGAGTCAAGCACTCGGTTTTCGTCCTCTCAATTAGTAGACAAGAGTCATGTTGGGGGAGAAGGCAGTGAATAGGACTTCCCTGCGAATGGCTATATACGCGTGTCCATGTGAGAGCGTTTCGAAAGGGAGAGCTGACTCTTCCCACCCTCGACCGTACCAGGGCATTTGGGGGCTTTCTTGTAAGGAAGAGGATTTTTTAACGTTGTGTACTGATGCCATGTTTTGGTTTGGCCACCCCTTATTTTCATCCAACTGTCTCCAACACTAGTCAGAAATACGCGTCGTAGTAATCCGTGTTCGGGCATACACAACACGATGGCCCAACCATCTCAGTCGATGAAGATTCACAACCTCATCAACTGATTTACCATCATTCCCTAATACCCTGCGCTTAACCTCACTATTACTTACCCAGTGATCCCAGCAGTTGTGAGCAATATTTTTAAGGTATCTGTGGTCAAATACTAGTAGGTTACGAGTATCTTCTACTCTTAATAGCCACGTTTCGCAGCCGTAAATTAGGACAACGAATTGCCGCGCGGTATACTCGTCTCTTAATTGATAGTCGGATTTCTCGCCTTCGCCATAGGTGACGCAAGTTGGCAAAAGCCAAACGAGCTTTTCGAATCCGTGCTGAGATTTCGTCAGACACCAACCCATTAGGGCTGATCAGACTTCCAAGTTGTCGACGCGTTCGACTACTTCGCTCCCTATCCTTAGTTCAGGTGTTGACGCAGGCCAGTCCTGAAGCAACAACTTGCATTTAGAGGACGAGAAACCTATCCAAAAAATCCTAGCATTGTTGCTCAGTGCTACCAAAAGACTGAATTTTATCAGCATCGTCACCAAACAAGTCTATGTCATATGCGTATTCTAAGTCGATAACCTGACCTCCTGATAGAAGAGCAATTACTTAATATTCAGATAACGATAACGTTATTTCCAGCAGTAGGTCTATGATCAAGTTAAACAAAAGTGGGGAAAGTGGACAGCTTTGACGGACACCACTTGAGGTTGCAAAATCAGATGACAGTTCGCCAACAGAAAACGGAAATGTTAACATTTGCCTCGAGCACATTGCTTATATGTTGCTAAAACTACATGAATATGTTAAATCGCCGACTGAACTACTCGTAGACATCCAAAAGATATTCCTTGAGAAGATATAATTATTCAAAATTCCTATTGAATGGATACATGGTAAATTTCCGTAAGTTTCATCAATTCCGTTAATCCATAAGTCAAAAATCTATACAGGGGCTAGAAAACAAAAATGTGATTATTCTACTAATGATTCGTTTACAAAAAATGGCTATCGTTCATGTTCCAAAGTTATGTAAATATGCCAACTATCCACTGCATGTGTATTTTCTATGAATATACAGTCCCTATGTAAAATCTTCTTGGTTAGTTCATGGTGTTAAGGCATGGCACTTGTTGATATCAATATTATTCCCCAGTTGAATTCCGACAGACGGAGAAAAATCTACCATGATTTTTACTGGTAACTTAACTGAATCTTTGAATAAGTAATATTCTTGTTTAACTCATTACAGATTTCAAGACGTTTTCATCAATTCTCTTCACAATACCATCACATCATTTGTGTGGTTAATTTATTTGAAACCTTGAATTTTATATGCTTCAAATACATAAATCGTACAATCGCACTTAGAACGATTATGTTCATATCTGAATATGCTGACTAGTGGAGCTAATCCGTGTCGGGTAGAAACAGGTGTCTAACTAAGTACAATGGAAGATGGTTGCGCAATATCGTGGACTGGTTGAGGTTAGACATTAACACCATTGGATGCCGGCTCAGTGGTCCAGTAGGTTAAGCGTTCGCGCGCGAGACTGAAGGCCCTGGGTTCGGATCCTACGAGCAGGATCGTGGATGTGCACTGCCGAGGAGTCTCACAATAGGACGAAACAGCCTTTCAGTGCTTCCAGGTTTTCAATGGCGGTCTAACATCAATCAGTTCATAATCTCAATCAAGAATAAATTATTATCTGAATGAATATTGACAGCAACCTCATTGTCATGGAAATGTTAATTCTATTCAAAATATACAAAAAAACCAATAGTCATTTACAACTGGAGAAATATAAGGAGCAGAAATATAACTGGTTGGTGTTCATTAGAAAAATATCATTATTTGGCATAAACAGCTGGAAATATTAAATCTTCATTTTCATTGGATAGATCATTTAATTGTTGATTAGTATCCAACTTCACCATTACTACCATGTACCTTGAGTTACGTGTATTTAAAGTCTATATGATATTTAAAAGAATAAGAACAATGTGAAAAAGTAACAATATTAGGAGCCACTACACAGTTATGCTTAAATTACTGAGTGAGTAATATTAAGTTCAGAAATCAACTTTAATATATTTGGAGTTGGGGGGTTCCAAAATTTCCTTCGGAAAAGTTCATCGGAGCTCATAAAACGTTTAAAGACAGCTTATCCCATCAGCATTGAGTAGAATCTTCTTAGAAACATCTAAAAGGCTAAGAGCCAAGTGTAATATTTTTGACTGGATATTTATCCATACAGTTACTTTACTTAGTATGGTTCCACAAGT